CTGTGAAATTGTCATTGACATTATATTGTTTGAGATTATAACTGTGAATATTATTACAATGTAAGTGGACTAAACTTTGATGTATTTTGACCATTTGTAAACTTTGAAAGGGACTGAGACCTCTGAGTTTGTTTCGGCGTTTCTTCTCAGAGTAGTCCGTAGGAAATGCCGACTTAATTAAAATGCGAACAAGTAAAGGTGCACTGTCGAAAGTAAACGTTACTTTATTTACGAAGATTTAATTGTTTTATTACTGCATAAACATACCTCTACCGATATATATGACGAAGAGAGCTCTCGCTTGACATCGCCCATACCATCCTCCGACATGTAAAATGAAAAATCAGCGCTGAAGGGGTTTGGTTTCCATTCCCAGGTCAGCCAAATTACATATTACACTTATCATATTTTTGTACAGACCCAATGACAGATGTGTGATATTTTTGATTAACAGCTGTCATTGAGAATATTGCTAGATTTGGGAATCAAACCCTAACTAAACTAAATTTAATTTTATGCTATAATTTTATCACGTGTCGTCGCATTTACAAAGACACAAAAAAAGTTAACTAAAAATCGCGGGTTACTCACGTGAATACGCTGTGAAAAGCTCTACTAGTTTCGAACCACAGCGGGGTTCCTCCTCATGAGCAGCGTGCGCGGTCGCGGTGGTGTCGCGCAGCCTACTAAGACAGTAACTCGCGATTTTTAGTTAATTTAGTATGTCTCACGATAATTATTATAGAAACAAAAAAAAATTGCTAAAATTGGCAATTGAATCCACGACACAGCAGATGTTTGACTGCCTCGTTGGCCGAGTGGTCGCAAGTGCAAGGGGTCTTGGGTTCGATTCCCGAGTCGGGCAAAATATTACTGGGTTTTTAAAAATCTCAGTAGTAGCACGGAGTCTGGAAATGTGCCCGGTATATGGCAATAGGCTCACCCCCTATTACATGGGACACATAACATAAAAAGTGGGTGTTACATTGTACAGTGGCATTATGTGCCGAAATGTGCACCTCTGCCTACCCCTTCGGGGATAAAAAGGCGTGATGTTATGTTATATGAATGTAATAATGATCTAATATAACTATTATTTGTTTCAGAATGTACTTCACTTACATTGAAAGAGGTGTATGGCTGTACCCTATCTTTAGGAAGCTCTTTGGCACAATCTACTTTTTCATAGCTTTAGCTCTTATGGGAATTATGTTCTATACATTTTATTACGTCCAATGGCCTTTAACTAAAATGATACACGGCTCAAAGAAAAAACAAGAAAAGAAAAAGGCTAAAATAGAAAAGAAAATGAAATAATACATTTAAAAATGAAATAATTCATTTAAAAATGAAATAATAGGACAATTTTTTTATTTAGTTCATTTAATTTATTTTTGAATTATATTATAATAATAATTGTGTAATAGGTATGGGTGCCTTTTAATTTAGTTGAGAAGAGCTTTTTAACGATTAAAACAATATTTATATACCTATTTTGTGCGTGTTTTTCTGTTGTTTTTTTTCCCAAAACTGCAATCTTCACCAGTTATTTTTTAGTCTCATGTAAATACTTAAATAGGCTCATATCATACTGTCATAAACCGAGTTTATTCTAGACGCCTCGTTCTGTTACTGCGATATTTTTGAAAAATCTTAAATAACCACTAAAATTTTGCTCGGTAATCGACCTAAAAACTCCTTGCTCCACGGTCATACTTACGACCATGCGACCAACACACTGAAAGTAAATATCTAATAACAAAAGACACTTATATGGGAAAAGTGACCATTAAATAAATAAACACTCTACCTCGTTGGCCGAGTGGTCGCAAGGGCAACTGCCGGGCAAGGGTCTCGGGTTCGAATCCCGGGTCGTGCAAAGTATTACTGGGTTTTTTCAATAAATCTCAGTAGTAGCATGGAGTCTGGATTTATGGTATATGGCAATAGGCTCACCCCCTATTACATGGGACTCATAACAAATAGTGAAAAGTGGGTGTTACATTGTACAGTGGCATAATGTGCACCTCTGCCTACTCCTTCGGGGATAAAAGGCGTGATGTTATGTTATGTTTATAAATAAACATAAGTAAACTTTATCGTAGCATGACTAAGTATCGTGTTAAATATAATTAGTGTTATAAAGATTATAATCGGAATAATATAATCAAGACAGACTGAACTACGTGACCCGACACATTTGTACGTGTACACCGGTAGGTATTATTATTTTTAATTAATTTATTTAATAATTAATAATACACAGTTATTAAAAGCAAGGTCTTGATAGCTAATTTAATAGTGGATCAATAGATGGTTATACAATGTGTAGTTTTAAAACCGTGTCTTATTTTGAAATAAAAAAAAATAAATTGCCATATACCGGGCACAGTTCCAGGCTCCGTGCTACTACTGAGATATTTTTTATAAACAGAATAATACTTTGCCAATAAGGCAGTCCGAGCGAACGAACGAGGATGTTATTTTATTTTATAAAATATCTACACCCACTAAGAGGATGACCTTAGTCCACCAGTGAACGGATTCCGGTTGATAATCTAGATAAAAAATTATACTTTTTAAATACTAGGAAGCGAATGTATATATCCAAACACGGTGTCACTGTTTTTGAATGGTTAACGCAATGGCTGGGCGAACGGCTATTGTCTGACGTGTTGTGGGCGCGATCGCATAGAAGAATTCTTCGCTTTGTGGAATCCACAAATGGGGATGATGACAGGGTATGAAAATTAAAAATCGAATTAATCTGTCATTTAGATATCTAATGAAATAATACTACACACGTATTTTTTAATTTTGTCGTATAAGAAAACAATACTTTGATAAAACGAATCAAAGTTTAGGAGTGGGAGGTAGCTACGTCATTTTAGAGTATAAATCGTACTCAAGAGTGACGTCATGCGATATTCGCGAGAGGTCGCCATCGCCGATCACGTCCCTGAAGGCACGGCGGTGCTCAGCCCATGCACCGTGTGTTCCACCGTGACCTCAGGGTTGTCTTCGCAGTGCTGACACCCGGGCGTTTCCTCCCGCCCCATCAGACATAGGTACCTCCTGAAACTTCCATGTCCGGTGAGGACCTGTGTCAGGCGGCAGGTGAGAACGCCGTAGCGTCTCTCAAGCGACTCCTTATAGAAGGGACGTACAGCTGCAATGACAGCGAGCCCATTGTTCCGGGTGTAGGTAATTGTTGCAAGTAGGTGCTACCGAGGAATCTTAGGTAAGATTTTCTGTTTGAGTATAGTAACCAGTACATATTAGTGCTTCACAAATAGGACAGCGAACATTGATCACCACGCTTGCTCAATACAGTTTGGTGGTTTCATATTTATAATCAGAAATTATTCAGTATCATCGTCAACAACCTATAAGTGGCCACTGCACACCAAAGGCCTTTTCTCACACGGAGAAGGTTTGATCATTAATCACCACGCTTGCTCAATGCGGGTTGATGATTTCAAACTTATAATTAGAAATTATAAGCCCAGGTTTCCTCACGATGTTTTCCTTCACCGTTTGTCGTTTGCCTACATAAAAAAAATGTGTAAACAATCTTAGAAAGTACGTATAACTCGGAAAATTCACATTGGCACTTGCCGTTGGTAGGTTTGTCAGTAGCGTTTAAATAATCTTAGGAAGTACATATAACTTGATAAAAATAATCATCGACGGGGGTAGAAACTATTTGTTTTCATCTCCTCTTATAATATCTTCTGATTTATTTCGTTGCGGGAACCAAAACAGTTATTCATGTCCCTGGGATGCACCGGACTTCAGTGTTCTGATGTTTCCATGGTTGTATCTACTGTAGATCCTGGCTTACAAGAGTTGCAGCGGTTTTGGAAGGTTGGAGTCGGCTTGTCCAAAAATAACTTGGGGAAAAGTCTCATTGGTACTTGATTGGTAATGCTGGAAGACCTTGGGACCACCGCGACATTATTTTTTATCATTAACCAATACAGTTCTTATCATACAATAATATGAAATATAGTCAGTGTTGTCGTAATTCTTACTGAGCATAAACGTGCGTTGTATTTATTTTGAATTAAATTTTAAATCCTCTATTGTTGTATACCTAATAAGATTTAAAAATGTAAATGTGTTGTTAATTAAGGTTAAAAGTTTTAAACCGTATGTAATTCATTTATAAATGACGTGAATTTTAATTTTGAATCGTAGGCGAACACAAATATTAAGTATTATTCGTAAGTATTTCATTTTACATAACAACATTCGACGGTTTTTATTGCTAAATACTGGTTTTGACATGTGTCTTAGTTATAATCTAATAGAATAATTACTTAATATGTATTTAATTTTTTCATCATTTTGTTTCTTATAAAATAAGACTCAGTTTTGCTTTACCGTAGTACAGTGAAAAGACGTATAATTATTATATCTTTGTTTTAAATCTAATCAAAATGTGTACAGTAATTTAGGTGTAGTAAACAAACAAGTTTTCGAAGGTTAACTACATATTTTTAATGTGGTAAGTGGTTTTAATTCATTCGCTTACGGTGGCCGGAGATCGTCTCGCGATCCCCGACGCCCGGTGTGTCCTTCGCGATGGCTGGGTTGCGAGGAGGCAGCGCTTCGCTGCCTCACGCGTCCCGCCTCCTCCTTAGCTAGCATGACTGCTTCGCAAAAGGAGGAGACGGCATCCCAGTCCCCCTCGCTCCGCATCATGGCCTGCACTAGGCCCGGAGTCGAGTGGCCCTAAGAACGACTGTTGCAAGGAGTTTAACTTCCAGGGCGGTAGTAAAATTGTGAAAAATTTCAGTAATAGCACAGGACAGATCACCTGGTGGTAAGCAATGCGCCCAGCGTACATGATAATTTCTCATCCTCTATTAGATGGGCCCCATAACATATATAACTGTAGGAAAGAGCCCGTTACATCTTCTATACATATCAAAGAAAGTCGTGTTAGTTACACTGTTTATAACTCAAGAACGCCTTAATCGATTTGGATGAAAATTAGCGGGGAGGTAGCTTAGAACTAGGAGACTAGTTAGTTAAGTTAGATTAGGGTATGATGAGGCTGACATACCTTTATAAGGGAAAAGCCTCTAAATAAATAAAGATTAAAAAAAAAGAAAAAAACTAGGAGACGGACATAGTATAATTTTTATCCTATACTTTTATTTTTACTTTTTACCGAAAATCACGAACGGGAACGGGGAAAAACGGGACTGCGCTTCCGAAGTCGCGAGCAGAAGTTAGTTGATAACAATAGGGTAGATGACTAATTTTTATTTCAATGTCCGTCTGGTAGATTATTTAAAAACATTACACACGTATTTTTTATTTTCTTACGGAAACAAATTGTTTCGAAGATATATTAATTTGAAATATCGCATGACGTCACTTTTGAGTACGATTTATACTCTAAAATGACGTAGCTACCTCCCACTCCTAAACTTTGATTCGTTTTATTTAAGTATTGTTTTCTTATGCGACAAAATAAAAAAATACGTGTCGAATATTGGTTCATTACCTAACTGACGGATTAATTAATCCGTCAGTTAGGTATCATAGGATGACGGGGTATGAAAATTAAAAATCTAAATAGATAATAGATCATTCCTATTATGTGCTGTGCGTGCTCCTTCTGAGAATATTTACCTAAGTACTAGTTTAATTACTCAAATTTCCAATAGATTACAACTGGAAAGGTGAGTTCATTACACTTCACCATCATTAAAGCGTACACACGACCACACATACAAACATGTAAGTACATACACATGTAATGCACTTAAACTAGGCGTGTTAGATTAATGCGCGCATTTTATATGATTATTATCGAGTCTTTATTGTTCCGTAAGCTTATGGGCTCGTACTCAAAACTGCGATCCGATATATACATACACAACTTCACACCTGTCTCCCATGGGGATAGGCAGAGACTAGAGAACGCCAATTACTACGATTCTTACATACCTCTTTCGCTTCATTAACAGTCATCAATGCGATCCGATTTCGTGCGACAAGGCGCTCCCAAGGGTGACCATACCTTTGACGTCAACCGTACTAAACGTATTTTAAATTGAAAATAAGATCATGACATGGATCGTAAAAATAAGTGTGCACTTCTGAGATTTTGGGAAGAAAAAAAGAAGTGTGGGAGAGCCATGCTTCGGCACGAATGGGCCGGCTCGACAAGAGTGCTACCACGGCCTCATAGAAAACCAACGTGAGGCAATGCTTGCGTTGTGTTTCGTCGTGAGAGTGAGGTTACCGGAGGCCCAATTACCATCCCCTTCCCCAATCTCCCCAATTCATGAATCCCCAACGATTCTTAAACTCCTAATCCCCAAAAGGCCGGTAACGCACTTGTAACGCATCTGGTGTTCCAGGTGATCCGTCTGCTCGTTTATCGGCTTATGCCATAAAAAAAATGATAAGATTTTGATGCGCGATGCGAATCAACGCAACTTCTTGCGAGACGTAGAGGGAGCTCGCACATATTTGCGAGTATTGTGTACGAGCCCTAAGGACTCACGACGCGACTTTCTCCCGCTCCACCGCGGTTGCGGGCCCGCAGCCTTTGTAAAATACTGATATGTATGTAAAAAATTATAGCCATTGACGCCCGCAGCGGTTGCGATTGTTTGCAACTCCCCGCATAAAACTGCAGCCTGTCTCGTGAGTTTTGAATTACCTCCATTTAGCCATCGCGGTGGTCACGGGAGAAAATCGCGCAATGAGTTCTTAGCCTAAAGGATTTGGTAGAGATGTAGCTGGAGTATATTTATTTATTAACTACTAGTTTTTATCCGCGGCTTCCTTCGCGTCACAAAAGGATAAAAAGCCAATGTGACATATACCAATACACACAGCGCCATCTATACCAATACTTTTGTTTTCCCTCGGGAATATCAAATTTTTCCGAGATCAAAAGTACCTTATTATGTAATACGGACTTCTAACTATACATCTGTAAAAATTCAAAGCAATCGGTTTAGTAGTTACGGCGTGAAAGCGGAACAAACAAACAAACAAACTCCCTTTCCAATTTATAATATTAGTAAGGATATGTTCATTTCTTCTCCTCCTCCTCCTTCCTTTTTAATTGCACTAACTAAACTAAATAGCAGAAAATCTGGGCGCTTACTCATGAATCCAATTCCTATCGATCAACATTGGTATTGTGAACTTTCGTACTCTTGAGTACGAAAGTTCAACCCACCCACCCTAGCGCCTATTGTATCCGAATTGCGTGGATATTGAATGAACTAAATGGTATTGAGTTTGGCTTTACATATATTCCGTACCCTGAATGCTATTTTCATAGCTACAAGAGGGGTTGTATAGTTTTGACATTGAATAATTATTAAGATTTTATTGATTCGAAATTGCAAGCACCCAGTTCAGGATCTCGTGCTGTGGCAAATGAGTAGACAAATCACAAGGTGGTAAGCAATCAGAGCCATTTGAAGACACCCACAATACCATAGTTGCAAGTATGTAAACGGGTTTTTAAGGTCCACAAAGTGCAAATCCAATCGGGGATTTAGTTTTCAATAGCCTCACTCATGGTGCAAAACACGACGCTGTGATTGTTTCACGCCGGTGTCTGAGACGGCCCATTCTTGGCAAAGCCTAGGTCTCCCACGTAAAACGATGTTGACTTCCTAGTCTCATACTATTGGTGACTAAAAGACACATAAAACGGCAATATGCAGTGAACTGAACTTTCGTGAGACATACTAAATTAATTATTATGTTTCTCACGTAATTATTTGACGAGGAACTCGACTAGTTTCAAGCCATGCTAGGGGCTTATATTCTTGAGCAGTATTCCGCGACCAGTGACGCGGCGATTGTGACGCTGTCAGTAGCAGTCGACGCGTCGCTGTAGCATGACTTAAAACTACTCGAAGTTCCTCGTCAAAATGATTACGTGAATAAGCCGTAAAGCATAATAATGAACTGAATTACTAATACTATTCTTTAATCTTCCAGTAAGAATGTCTCATCACGCCTACCTTCGTATCCTGGGCTACGTCACCACCATAGCGCTGCACGTCTCCAATATCACGGTGATGATGACCTCCTTCCATGGAGAGCCCATGAAGAATGCCTACGTCAGACATTTTAGCGAAATGCAGTTCTTTTTCTTTACTTGTTGGACTTTTGTGAGTATCACAATATTGTCATCATCATCATCATCATGTTCATCAACAGCCTATATAAGTACTCACTGCTGAGCAAAGCCTCTTCTTACACGGAGAAGGATCGAATGGCGATTACAAACTTATAATTAGAAATTATAAGCTCAGGTTTCCTCACGATGTTTTCCTTCCCCGTTTGCGGTATCTAGATAATCTTAGAAAGTACATATATCTCGGAAAAAGTCACATTGGTACTTGCCACTGGTAGGTTTTGTACCCGCACCCTCGTGCATGAGTTGTCTTAAACCTCCGGGCCACCATGTTTCATTTGAATCCGTTTAGTAGTTAGAGCGTAATTTGTGGACAAACATCCAAATACATAGATTGCCACATTTGTAATATTAGTATGATTCATAAGTCTTTTTTTTTAAGGGGGAAAATCATCGAATTACTGCTCCCATCTGGGTGAGGTGAGAGGGAGTGTCAGACTCTTAGTGACTAAAAACCACACCGTTCCTTCTCCTGCACGTCGATCTAGAGCCCCGGTAACCGGTTCTCCGCGACTCCAAATCGGCATGGGCCCTGTTCGGCGCCATCTGTGGTGGTCTGATGGCTTATTGAAGCGCGCGGAACGCGACGCACCGTACGCTCGGGTCTGTTTCTGGTCGGACGGGGAGCCACCCATGCTCGCCGTCCGCAGGCCCGCGCTTACGGTGGCCGGAGATCGTCTCGCGATCCCCGACGCCCGGTGTGCCCTTTGCGCTGCCTCACGCGTCCCGCCTCCTCCTTAGCTAGCATAACTGTGATTCATAAGTCTAGACATTGTTTCTCTTATCTATGACATTAGAATACTGTAAAGGAAGACTTATAATTTTTTTTTCTATTCCAGTTCTTCCAAACGGCATACGCGATATTTGCTCTCTACACTGATGTCCTAACACTGAAGAATTCAGACAACAAATCATATGAGCTGCCCAATCTGCTGGCTGGGGCGAGAGATGCCTTCTTCACAATTATGGTTTACCCATCTACAATTGTAAGTACGAATTTAATGTTCGCTTCGCCGTAATTATTTTTGGAACCATAAGCCGGTAAACGAGCAGACGGATCACCTGATGGTAAGCAATCGGCGCCACCCATGAACACTCGAAACACCAAGGCGTTACAAGTGCGTTACCGGCCTTTTGGGAATTGGGAATTTGAGGATTGTGGAGAATTCGGGAGACGGAGACTAGGGACCCCTCCCTAGTCCCCGTAATTGGGCCTTCGGTAACCTCACTCACACGACGAAACACAACGCAAGCGTTGTTTCACGTCGGTTTTCTGTGAGGCCGTGGTATCACTCCGGTCGAGCCGGCCCATTCGTGCGCAAGCATGGCTCTCCCACACTCAAAATGAATGAATGTAAAAATCTTACTAAATTATGTAACTAGAGAATTGTATTGTGAACCTGATTGAAAAAAAAAATCTATAGTTTCTTTCCCGTTCTTCTCCATAGGAATCTAAACTTTGGAACGACCAAATAGCTTCACTTTAAATTTTTTGTTGACGTTCAAAGGTGCCTTTCTTGTGTAATTTAAATAAATGATTTTGACTATGACTTTGACTTTGACAATTCGACCAACTGCAACGAGACGGTGTATGTATGGCAAATTGGTAATATTAAAATTGTTTTGTCTTTTAATATTTACATGGACATTAAAACTTGGTCCACTACTCCTCATTTAGTTAGGTACATATTTTTTTTTTTTCTTTAAAAAAACGTTGCCCCACACTAGGATTTTCTCCTGTGTCGTGGGTGCGTTTACAAACATACAAGTTCACATACAAAGTTTATATCGTCCTTGATGACAATTGAAGATAAAAGCAATGAACTTATTATCAACATCCGAACATATTGATAGCCAATCACAGGGATATTATTGTCTCAGGGTCTCACAGTAATTAAAGTATCATATTTTTATTAATGATGTAATTTTTACAATAACTATCGTGAGACATACTAAATTAAGTAAAAATCGCGGGTTACTCACGTGAATATATTGAGAACAGCTCTACTAGTTTCGAACCACAGAGGGGTTCTTCCTCATGAGCAGCGTGCGCGGTCGCGGCGATGTCAGCGAGCTGCGCGACATCGCCGCGATCGCGCACGTGGCCGCGTAACCCGTGATTTTAGTTAATTTAGTAATTTATTACATACTACGTAGGCGTAGTTTACAATCCTACTTATACACATAGACTACTTTTCGTCGCATGGGAACGCGGGCGAAGCCGCTGATAGAAACAAGCTATATTTCAAATCTTTTATGGCATAAGCCGGTAAATGAGCTTATGGATCACCTGATGGTAAGCAATCGGCGTCGCCAATGGACACTCGATACACCAGAGTCGTACAGGTGCGTTACCGTCCTTTTGGGATTAGGAATTTGAGGATTGTTGGGGATTCATGCATTAGAGAGTGGAAAATTGGGTCTCCGGTAACCTCACTCACACGACGAAACACAACGCAAGCGTTGGTTCACGTCGGTTTTCTGTGAGGCCGTGGTATCACTCCGGTCGAGCCGGCCCATTCGTGCCGAAGCATGGCTCTACTACACTGGCAGACTCAATGAATATTTCCTTTGCTTATTTTTTCCTAGTTCACCCAGAAAACCCCATTGAAATCGATTATTTCAATAACATTTTCCAATATCAATTCCAGCTAGTCTTCACAGTCTTCTGGCCGTTCTTCTATTATGACAGGAGTCTTCTGTTTCCTGCAGACATCGACTTGGTGATCTCGAAGACTTCCAACCATATAATGCATACTTACATACTTCCTATTGCCATCTGGGAGGTCATGTTTAGGAGGAGGAAGCCTCCCAAATCCCATGTGTGGCACATTTTGGGAGTCGAAGCTCTTGCGCTGACGTATTTTTCCGTGTAAGTTTTTTTTTTCTTTTTACTTCTATTTTTAATGAGCGGACATCACCTGTTTTGTTTGTTGGTGATCAGTGCTATCCATAGACACCAGCAATGCTAGAAGGATCACAAGTCAGTTATAAAGTTTTTTTTTTATTAATTTTTTTATGGGGGAAAATCGTCGAATGAATGCTCACGCCTGGGTGAGGCGGGAGGGAGTGTCAGACTCTTACTAACTAATAACTAAAAACCACCCCGTTCCTTTTCGTGCACGTCGAACTGGAGCCCCGGTTACCCGTTTTTTTTTTAAGTGGGTATAATCATCGAATGACTGCTCCCGCCTGGGTGAGGCGAGAGGGAGTGTCAGACTCTTACTGACTAAAAACCACCCTGTTCCTTCTTCTGCACGTCGAGTCGGAGCCCCGGTTACCCGTTAGGTTAGGACCCCATCTGTGGTGGTCTAATGGCTCTTTGAGGCGCGCGCGGTCGCGACGCGCCATACGCTCGGGTCTGTTTCTGGTCGGACGGGGAGCCACCCATGCTCGCCGTCCGCAGGCCCGCTTACGATGGCCGGAGATCGTCCCGCAATCCCCGACGCCCGGTGTGTCCTTCGCGATGGCTGGGTTGCGAGGAGGCAGCGCTTCGCTGCCTCACGCGTCCCGCCTCCTCCTTAGCTAGCATGACTGCTTCGCAAAAGGAGGAGACGGCATCCCAGTCCCCCTCGCTCCGCATCATGGCCTGCACTAGGCCCGGACGCGAGAGGTCGCCATCGCCGATCACTTCCCTGAGGGCACGGCGGTGCTCAGCCCACGCAGGGCATTCCGCTACAGTGTGTTCCACCGTGTCCTCAGGGCGGTCCCGGTTACCCGTTAGGTTCTCAAGTTTAAAGTGGCACAGGGTGCTACATATGACTTGTAGAGGGCAAAGCTCGGAGTTTGTCTAATAGATTACATCCGAAAAGATAATGTTTACTTCGTCACATGCCACTTTCACCTCTACGCCACCTATAGGTCAACTGTTAGACATGCCCAAGGCATTAAGTCTACCTGTACATGTTTGTTTTTGTACTAAATCTAAATAAAATAAATTTAACATAACATCACGCCTTTTATCCCCGAAGGGGTGAACAGTGGTGCACATTTCGGCACATAATGCCACTGTACCTACAATGTAACACTCACTTTTCACTATTTATGTTATGAGTCCCATTTTATTAGGGGGTGAGTCTATTGCCATATACCGTGCACAATTCCAATCCCGTGCCACTACCGAGATTTATTTTTAAAAAACCCAGTAATACATTGCCTGACCCGGAACCGAAACCTCTTGCCCGGCAGTCGCATTTGCGACCACTCGGCCAACGAGACAGTCAATAAAATAAAAAAGAAGTTTTCAAAAAGAGAATCAATGTTATGTAATATAGCCCAAAAGAACCAGTAAATTAAAATAGCAATTGCCATTTGTTAAAGTATCGATGATCGCGTAGAAGTATTCTGGAGTCGAGACCGCGTCTAGGCAAACGTAGAAGGTGGAATGACAATATCCCTTGTCTGACATTGACATCCAGACCTATCAGTAACTAGCTAAAACGTATTAATTCTCGGTTCCTTTGTCAACCAATTTGGAATATAACAAGCGTAAAATTATGTGTAATTATAATATAATTTATTTCATGAACAACTGGAAAAATATTCAGTTTTTATTTCGCTGAAGGAATGAATTTGCAGCTTGCAGTATGCAGCACCGCCCTCCCGCCCGCAAATAAACGCTCCTGCAGCAGGGATGCAACACTAAACTTACACACGACACGCAAAAAACTACTCCAACCACTCTCGATATAGTTACACTCCTCCACGGAGCATCCTCAGGAGTTGTTGACACTGCGAGTCCCGCGGTTCATGTGGGATTATTTGAGGACGGGACGGAGATGCTGCATACTCCATGCCGCAAATTAATTCCTTCAGCGAAATATAGACTAAATATTTTTCCAGCTGTTACTGAAGCATCATTATCATCATCATCATCACTTTTATCACGTCATCATATTGACGTGTAAAAGTGCTGCCTTGTAGCTTATTTGCAGAAATAAATTCACTTGTTTCACTTGTTAATCAACAGCTTATAAATCACTGCTGAGCAAAGCCTCTTCTCACACGAGAGAAGGTTAGAGCATTAATCACCACGCTTGCTCAATGCGGGTTGGCGATTTCAAACTTATAATTAGAAATTATAAGTCCAGGTTTCCTCACGATGTTTTCCTTCATCGTTTGTCAGTGGTGTCTAAATAATATTAGAATGTACATACATATAACTCGGAAAAAGTCACATTGGTACTTGCCGTTGGAAGGTTACGTACCCGCACCCTCGTGCATGAAAAGCAGGCGTCTTAAACCTCCGGGCCACCACGACATATTTACGATTAATGCAGCATGAATTGTCACAAAGTTACGGCTGATTTTATATACTTAAGCTTTTATTCTCGGCTTTGGCCGCGTATTTTGTCCCACGCAAGCATTTAACCGGTCCGATGATGAGGACAATATTGAAAATTGAATAATGTATCTATTGTATAATTGCATTCTTAATTCTCTTTATTATTACAATTTATCTCTAATTTTGTTCTGGATTATAATTAATTATAAATAATTGTTAATAAATAAATACTAGTCGTTGCATGTCATGTTGTGTGCACATACTTGTGGAAGTATGGTCTGCCATTTACAGTTTTGTATTGTTACTCTGTTGTGTATTGTGCTGTGTTTCTGTTTTGTGTACCTAATAAATAAATAAATAAATCTATGGTCTGCCATTTACAGTTTTGTATTGTTACTCTGTTGTGTTTTTTTTTAAGGGGGGAAAATCATCGAATGCTCCCGTCTGGCTGAGGCGGGAGGGAGTGTCAGACTCTTACTGACTAAAAACCACCCCGTTCCTTCTCCTGCACGTCGAGCCGGAGCCCCGGTTACCCGTTAGGTTCTCCGCGACTCACTCTGTTGTGTATTGCGCTGTGTTTCTGTTTTGTGTACCTATTAAATTAATAAAATCGGGATGTAAAAAAAGTATCTTATCACCCAAGTCAGTCCATACCCTGCATGTATACTACATTTCATCATAATCCGTTCAGTAGTTTAAGCTTTATTGACGGTCAAACATCCAAACGAAGAAACTTTCACCTGTGTACTATTAGTAGATATGATAATGACTTACTTGACTTATAGTCCTATGTCCCCTAGATGGGGCAGAGGGCGTCCACAGAGGTTCTCCATCTCGATCGATCTTGAGCTTCTCGCTTCACCTCGCTCCACGTCATTCCGATGCTCGCCGCCTCTAGATATGATAATAAATAAATAAAAAACAAAAATAAAAAAAAATAAAAATAAAAAACCTTATATTTCGTGGAAAAAAAGAAAACCTAAATAACAGTTGTTTTTTTTTCAAAACTTAACCTATATTTTTTTTGTTTGATTTGATTCTAAATGTATTATTTTGAAGAGTTAAATGTTTTGTTCAGTACCTATTAGTATGATATGATTCATTAATTTTTTTTCAGATTATTCTTCGTCCACGCCGTCAAAGGAGTCTGGATATACCCAATATTCGGCATTCTGAAAGGATCTATATTGTTTTACTTATTCTTCTTGGCCATTCTAGCAGTTTTACCATTTATGTATTTTACGCAGTGGACATTAACTTCTCTGCTATGGGAGGGAAAGAAGAAGAAAGTTTATTGAGAGAAGAAAGGTAGAGAAGGGGGAGGAAGAGAATGATTGAGATAAATAAATATAAAGAATGTTTGTTGGTTTAATTGTACCTTTTACCCCCCACGCCTTTTGTATGCAGAGGTGCACACTACGGCATTTAACTCGTCGAGTACCGTCATTATAGACACAATTATAGAACAATAGGTTGCGGTCACCGGTGACCGCTTGGTGTTTGACAGTTTAATGCCACTGTATAATGTAACACCCACTTTTCAATATTTATGTTATAAGTCCCATGTAATAGGGGGTGAGCCTATTGCCATATACCGGGCTACATAATATAAGTAGTACCTATTCTTTAATTTGAAAATGAAAAACTATTTCCTTTTTTAAGGAATAAGCCAGTAAACGAGCAGATGGATCACCTGATGGTAAGCAATCGGCGCCGATCATAGACATTCGAAACTCCAGAGGCATTATAAGTCTGTTACCAGCCTTTTGGGGATTAGGAATTTGAGGATTATTAAGGATTCGGGGATTGGGGAGACGACGAAACACAAGGCAAGCGTTGCTTCACGTCGGTTTTCTGCTCGTCCGTGCTATCACTCCGGTCGAGCCGGCCCATTCGAGCCGAAGCATGGCTCTACGCTCTGCCACACAAACCTACAGAAATACTACACAAAAACGTAAACAAAATTCTTACTATGAATGTTATAAATACCGAACTTGTTAACCGAACCAAACCTAACTATTAATGCCGTATTCTCAAACAATACTT